GCTGTACCTGTCATCGGCACTCTTCACTATTCACCATAGAGTATGCCTAAGCAAGTGACACTTCATCCTTAGCCAGGATATTCTGCCTTGTAGTATCAAATTCAGGATTGAGTCCAGTAAGGAACTCAAACACCCTGATTCTTTCCACAAATTTCCTGAAAGTTTCTGCATCTTTGGTGCTTTCCCATACAAATGCTTCCATAACATCTATCTCCTGCCATAGTGACTTCAACATCGAATAATAGACGGCCACACTCTTCTCCCCTTGTTTTAAATTTTTCACATCATTCTTCAGTTTGTAGGCCCTTGCAACATTTAATTTCTGAGTATGTCTCTATCACACTATCCTAAATCTCCTTGGCTGAAGCCATCCACATATAGTGTTGACTTATGTGAGGCTGCATAGAATTTACCAACCACCCAATAACTATGTAGTTATCCTGCATCCATTTCTCATATGTAGGATCATTCTCATCGGGCATCACCTTACTACCCGTTAGAAACCCTAGTTTACCTATACTACAGACATGGATCTTAATAGATTGTGCCCAAGCAAGGTAATTTGTTCTGTCAAGTTTAATTGTAGTCACTCCTATCAGAATGGAATCTACGGAACCAACCCTTGACACTGGGATCTGCTTCGCCTCACTTTCAGATTGCTCCATCAATCAAACGAAAATCAAAAAACAATGTTTTCAACCTTAATAGACCTAACTAAGGTCAGTCAAGCACTCAAAAGTCCCAAAACTAGGGTTTCACCGTACCTGGCCTCCGGGGAGAAAAAGAAAAGAAGTAGACGCTCAAACCAGAGCTATCCAAACCACTTCCAACTGCAGCCACCCACTTTTGGAGATAAAAAGGAACCCTCCAAGCCTTGAGTGCCACACTCAAACAGCCTCTAAAACCCGTAACTAGAAATTCTCTAGTTGGCTAGGGTTTAGGGAAAAAAATCTACAGTCCCACTTTCTTGGCAATCTTCAGCCAGATTCTGACTCTCCAAACCATCTACCAACTAAGCAAACAAGATATCTGAATAATCAGCAATTTATCTCTCCATACACCTTTCGATTAGAAAAAAAAAGTGTATGGGAAAAAAAGAAAAAAGGGAAAAATGGAAGGGAGACCCACTCTGATACCAAGATGTGATTCAAACCAATAAAATTAGCAGAATATTTCAGATTAAAGCAAAAGAGAGGAGAAGAAGACAGCAAGAAGAAGAAGGAAGATTGGAGAAGAAAGGAGAAAGAAATGAAGAGTTCGATAATCTCCTCTTTCCCCCACTAATCTTTTAATAAACTTACTTAAGTTACATAATTTACAAGATTGCCCTTAAGTAGGCGTCCACATCAGCACTATACTTAGAAAACATAAACTAGAGCTAAAGGCCCATAAAGAAAAGGCCCAATAAGAAAACATAACAAGAAAGAACTAATAAGAAAGACACTAATGGGCTAGGGTCCATTCGGCCCAGTCTCTCTATAGGGAAGATGAGCAATGGTTGCACGATGGATGGAGGGGAGAATGGAAAGGACAAAAGAGAAAAAAAAAAGAGAAAAAAACGGAGTGGAACCAGAGGTGAGAATGACTTTGGTGCTGCCGCTCTGCGTTCTATTGAGGAAGAAGACGAACAATGTATCAGTAATTTCCGGTGGAGAAAAGATGCTTGCACTGGTGGGATGGGCAGAGGTTTTGTTCGAATGTTGTTCGCACGAGAATGGCGGAGGTAGCCATGGACGAGAGCCAGAGAAGACAACTCACCAGGAAAGAATGGCAAAGGAGGTAGCCATGGACGAGAGCCGGAGAAGACAACTCACCAGGAAGAGATTTCATGTGAAGAAATATTTCACGTGTGGATACCTTATCCTGCTAGAAGAGATTTTCGCACGAGAAGAAAGAATTCACATACGAATACCTTATCCTGCAGGAAGAGAAGGCCACGTCGTCTTGACGGAGGCCCTTCCCGTCTTAGTATATATAATAGATTGATATTTGCATATTACTTATCTGAATTTCTCTACTATTTTTGCTTTACCCTGACATCTAAACTTTGACCTAATATTTGTTTTCTGTGTGAAGCAAGTTGTGAAACAATGCATCACCTTCTTTGATCACCTATCCTTTTGTATCTAGTATTTAAGAATTAAGACTTCTTTTTTTGTTTGGTTGCAAGTAAACTCCTCCATAAATAATTGGAAGTTTGTGGTATATTTGGGATAAGGTGAATGCTAGAATATTCGAAGAGAAATCTAACAATAGAGCTACCATCAATGAAACATCACTCTAAAAGTGGCTTATTGGGTGAAATCTTAAACGGTTTTCAAAGATTTTCAGTCAATGACATCCTTAATGAATTCTTCCTTGAGAAGGATGATAGCATCTCTACAATGGATTCCTCCTCCCTCTAACTTCACCAAACTTTGATGGATGCAGTCTTCAAACCCAAGAATCTGTATTTAAGACTTCACCAAAATTATCCAAAAAATAGTAATCTTAGGAATAGAAGGCATCTTTAGAGACTGTAAAGGTAACAAATTAGGTGTATTTTCTGGATCCATTGGTAATTGAAATACAAACCAGGCAGTGAAGGAATGGGAGATCCATCATATGGATGGCCGAACCCTACAGGAAGGTTGGGCGAAATTTCAAAAATTTCTTTACTCCCATCCGGGAATCGTATTCCCAATTTAGAAAACTACATTTTCAAGGTTCGTTCTTGTAACCAAACTAGACGAAATCTGAAACCAAGATTAGGAAGAGGTATACCTGATACGGAATCCACGCAAAATGCTCCTCCCAATGCAGGTGTTCACGCCCAAAGAGTGTACCAAATCCTCCCTCCACTGAAGATGACGCAGCTTAGGATGAGGTAGGATCAGTAGGTAGTTCTTCACCAAAAACTTCTGATTCTTTAGCAAGGATCGAATGGGATAGTGAGCACAGCTTTAGAATTGTTTCTTCTAGCAAGAAACAATATCAAGATCTAATCTTGATCAGTTCCAAGAAATGGAGACCGAACAGGGTAGGGCAACAAGAGTATGGAGAGAAAGAATTGAAGGCAGAAACAGTCAAACTATGTTGTCTTCTATGTGTACCTTTTCAGATCCGCCCTGCTCTTTATATATAGCCTTAAAGAGATAATCTCCTAATCTAATTAGGAGTTTCTTGATCCAAATCTTTATTTGGATTTGAACTCTTTAAGTGATAAGGATCCCTTATCTTATCTATAGATCAAGATCAGCTATTCCTAATCAAATTAGAAGTTCCCTGATCCAAATCTCTATTTGGATCTTGACTCTTTAAGTGGATAAGAGTTATCCTCTTATCCTTATCTGCTGATCCATACTCAGATTCGCCCCTATTTAATTAATCCAATTAACCCAGTTTGAAATGGGCTTTAAGTCCATTAAGCTTTCATGCTCACTTCCTTTTAATGCTGGCTAGCTTGGCTCTCTTTGTATGGCGTGGGACCCTATCATTGATTTACACATCAGCCACATGGGTTCAGCCTAGCTTTAGTTACAAGGCCTGTCCGAATTCACTGTAGGACACAGTAAACCCCTGAGTCCATCACCATGGGCTCTTAATGGGCCCAACATTTACACTAAATGGTCATTGAGTACAGCCATCTTATGAAGGCCCAAGGACTGTGGGCAAATGCAAGATTAGCCCATCAGGTATAACCCTCAATGGTCTTACACTTAACCTCTCAACCCTTAATGATCAAACACTACCCGACAAGAGAGGACCTCCCTCTCGACTGCAATGTACAGTGTTGCACTCTCTACTCACATGGATCCCGAGAATTAAAATTTTTTGCAAACAAATTGAAACCATAATATATAAGTATATCTTTATATAAATATATTTTGCAAAACCAAATTTCAAACACAATTGAAATCCACTGCCGGTAGTTTAAGTTTCCATCAAAGAGAGTGCATTTCCCCAATCGATCACTTTGTCCAACAAAGGGGTTGATCATGTCACTATGATCACCCACTCAGATGAATTCTCGGACTGTCCCAACATACCCAGGTTTTGACCCCCTCTAAGGATCTCAATTATTGGCATATCAAAAATAACCCAATCCGACACCTAGTGTAGTACCATAATCGAGTCTAGGGGTCAGGTGTAACATTCCAGTTTTGCTCATCCATCTCCAAGGTCTAGGGCAATCATTGGAATTTTGGTCCAGGTCAGGTTTTCAAGAAAACCCACACTGCATGTACCTCAAGTGTCACCCTGGTAGCTGAGACAAGCCACCCCAACCAACTTAGCGACACATCAGTGTCAGCCTTGACAGGATAAATCTCCCCAGATCTATCCAACGGATGTGAAGATTCTAAACTAACACGAGTCTCATATGTGTCCAGTTTAAGGGTATTACACAGAAATACACCACAATAACATGAATCAAATATGTACTTTATTCATTTACAATAAATGTCATAATGTACATCATGTTGATTACAGCTAAGGGCATACACTGTCTAACAGGCAAAAGGGCCTAAGATTGGAAAAATATATATAAATCTCTCAAACTTGGTGGTGGAAAGGGACACATGCATGATCATGGGGTGGCTCACCAGAAGATGGACAGGCTTGTGGAAGTACAAACATGTTCTCAGGAAGATAGAGGAGCTAGATAGAGAATTAAATACATATTATATATGGACATTGAGATCCGTAAACTCTTTGACTGATGAACTAGCAAAACGTTAGAGCAACTAGAAACCAACTATATTGGGGTTTAATTCCCCAAGGTGGGGATTTATAAAAGATGGGGGCTAGCAAAGGCTAGCCCAATCTTGTGATGCTGGGCACTTAACTGTGTATCCCATCCTTTAACTGACTAATAAATCCATTGTTTGTTGAAAAAAGTTCTTGTCTCCTAGCCTAGGCTTTATCCTCTTAAAACATTACAGAAATTCTGTAATTAAATGAATAACTGAAAAACTGAAACATGTCAATCATGTGGCTTTGGTCCAATTGAGACATCCTACCACTTGGGGACACACCTTCTATTTCACCTGGAACTTTTGGAAGATCAATGCTCTTAGACAGGTTGCTGCAAAAATAAACAAATACATCAAATTTCTACAATCACATTAATTTAACAACTGCAACTGATCAAAAGATTTCCTGAAATAAGAATGCTTCCAAGAACCATCCATTTCTTTTTATTTATTTATTTAGTTAGTTAGTCATTTAACACTTTTGATCTGGGAATTGAGAATATATATATAAAAACCTGAGACAGTCAAGCAGAAGAACCATCACTTCGAGGTTCTGGTTATGATGTTTGAGCACTGCAATAAGTGCATCACTAGCAGATGATTGTACAGCTTTATTCGGTGAATAAACAAGGCGAACTAATTTTGGCAGAACAAAAGGAGGATCTGCAAAAAGAAATGAGTGGAATGTCAGTCAAAGAAAAACACTATTTTACAAGACTTCTACAGGTGTCAAACAATACTAAAAACTCTCTCTCTCTCTCTCTCTCTCTATATATATATATATGCACACACACACACACACTCCAAGTTTTTGTCCTCTAACCGGCGGAGAGGTGGACATCATGAATTTTATTAATAACACATGTACGAGGGTATTGTTAAACAGTATCATAACAGCAAGTCTTTCCTCCCTTCTCTTTCTTTTTAATGTCCTGTCAAATTTCTCTGATTATAGCTAGAAATCAAAACTAGAAGATCCATGCTGTGAAGACTAACCAATCTTTGGAAACAAATTAGATGCTTGTACACGAAGGGTAAGCTCTTTATCTTCAAGGCACTCAAGCAAGTGGTTTGCTATATCTTGCCTGCATATTCATGGGCACAGAAAATTCATAAACTAGCACTAGGGAAAATATATCAAAAGTACAGAACAGGAGGGACCTAAGTGTGCACAAAAACATATACCACATTGAGTGAGAAAGCAAGTTCACTGAATCCAATGATATATGGATAAGCTCCGAAACTACATTCATAGCATTTTGTCTTTGAGAGATATTTCCAGAAACAAGACGCTTTAAAACTTCTTGAACACACCAGCCATCTCCACTTTTGGCAAACCTTTTTGCGTAAGTCAAGTTTGAACTCCAATATAAAACATTTGAGACATGAAATTGGTGCACAAATGGAAACCAATGAAAAAATATAAGGATACATTGAACAGCATTCTGCAGTGAGCATAACAACAGCTCTTGTTGGGCTATCCCTCTCATCCAAAAGGTTTAGCAGTAAGGGCATCACTGCTTCCAATTGACGTGTGTCAAAAATATTTCTTCCACTTGAAATTTTCTTAAAAATGGTTTCTTTTAAGATACATACAGCTATCTCTATCACATCTTCATCAATGCATTGAAGCTTCAAGAGAGATGATGTGATCATTATTAAAAAGCACACTTTTGATACTTGAACTAAAAGAACATAAATTTGCAATTGGATTATTATATAGAAATCTAGCTTCCCATTAGCCTAATGCAAGTAGAAACATACACAGTAATAGTCAAAATAAACCCTGGCAAAAATAATAGTAGGGAGTAATTGAAGAAAACTATGGAAGAGCAGACCACATAAAATGATCCTACAAGTCCAAGGACAACAAGCTTCTATATTATTTGGAGGGGTTTGGGGAGGGGGAAACAAAAGAAAACCTTGGAAGAGACTGGTTGTGGTGGAAAAGTATGGGACATGCAATTTTGGGTAACATTACACATTAGCATCTTAAAGGGAATCATTTGTTGAGAGCTCAAATCAGATGAAACGATAGAGATATGAATGCTATAGCTGCAGCTATTTGTCAGGGTAGTTTTTGGCTTCAGAGGCTGTCAGTTTATAACTATTGTTCATATTTTACATCCTCCTACATACAAATCCTTTTTTTAGTATTATTACAATTTGTTACATTTATCTCTTTCAAAAAAGGCATAAACCCGCAATAATGTAACTATCCACCATTAAAGAAATAATACATGCAATTGATAAAAAAAAAGACATAATGCATGCAATTGATCAAAAAAAAGGCATAATACATGCATCAATATACATGTACAGATGCATATAATTCAACTAGACCAGAACATAACTGATCAAATCAGAGTAATATCCAATTAATAAACTGACCAACTTTCCAAATCCAACTTCAACTTGATTAGGTTAGATCAATACCAGAGTCCGGATTAAATGGAATGAATTCAGACCGAGTCAAAATCTCATCCATTTGGGGCCCTTTATGCATGTGATTCTATACTATGCGCAAAGAAGGAACTCTAGGACTTTCTTTTTCCATGAAGGCAATGATGAAAGAGGCCTCGACTGACCCACTTAAATTTAGAGTAGGCCATTGGATAAGAAGGATTTTTTTGAAAGGTGGTAAATAATTTCATTAGATATCAAGATAAAAAGGAATTATGAGTAGGGAAGGGCTTAACAGCATTATCCTCAACTAGCAGATGCTAGTTTTGTCTTGGTCAATCCCTTTCAATTAAATTGCTGTTGCATTGGGAACCCAGATATCTCATGAATATGAAGGTACCTTTGGAAATAATGTTAGTAAAGTATTAGTACCTTCTCATTACTTTGGTTGTTAAGGCATGTAGGCAAGCAATTCTGGGCAAAAAATAGAACCCCTAGTCACCTAGGTGCTAGGGATTGCCTAAGCAATAAAATTTAACAAAGAGAAAACCAAATTCTAGGTTAATTCCATAGTTTTATATACCAAAAACTTTTCTTTGAAGAGTAAAATAAAAAATTTAGATAAAATAAAAAAACAACATACAACCCGAACAGGGGCGTTAAGATTACACCCGAGCCAAATACCGCAACAGGAGATTAAGCTAACAAAAAGAAAACAGGGAACCCCCCCCCCTTTTCAAAAGTATGCATATAAATTGAAAGAATAGCAACCAAAAACTATGCATATAAATTGAAAGAATAGCAATGCTCTTTGCTATATAACACTGAATTTCATCTCAATGCATGGCATAGCTTCATACTTAAAAGAAAATAACTAGGGGATAATCATGGGCCCGGATTAGCACCTATGATAAGGGCTATAGGCTGGGAGTTCGGATCTGCTGACCATGTTTACATAACCGCACACCAGGAACATCTCTTGTACTTCATATCATCAATGTTCCCAATGTTCAGCTGTGTGAATGTGGCAAGCAATGTCAGCATATCCAGACTCAGAGCCTAGGCCTAGGCCCAGGCCTGGGCCAGGCTTTGGCCCTAAGTCATTAAATATATTATATTTAATTTATAAAATATTTTATTTATACAATGTTTTCAACCTGTTGTTAACTAGAATGGTTGAACTGTTCAACCAGTCACCCGGAAGCCAAAATTGTTCTTTTCAATCCCAAACATGGCAATCCATAAAAAACCATTGACTTGGTCAAAACCCGTTCAGCCTAGACAATTAAACCATTGAACAGCTGGCCCGGCCTTTGGGTGTTCAAATAATTAAATCTAAAATAATCCTTAAAATTCAAAACTTGTCTCCATTAACCATTCTAATGATACAGATAAACCTGAAAATATTATTTGATTATTAAAATTTAAAATTTGTTAACTCTAAAAAGCCAAGAGAGGGGAGAGAGAGAGAGAGAGAGTTGAATTTTTCTTTCTCAGCTGCCACTGCTACCACCAACTCCTCCTCCTCTTCTTCTTGTATGTAGGATAGAATATAACCTAATATTCCAATCAAATTGTTCATTGACCCACCACCTGGAAGGAAAATGGGTCAGCCTCTATGTTGAATTTTAAACACTGATATCATATGACATATAATATATATATAATATATTATGATTTATATAAATATAAATATTATATTATAATATGTCATTTTATAATACTTGTATATATAATATATCATATAACATAAAATGAAACATACATCTATACAACTACAAAAAGTGTGAATGAGGCCTTGGGTTTCTGGAATTTTTTGACTAAAATACCCCTCTTGAATTTTTTTTAATGAAATTACAAGAGTTCTCTTCCATTGTGAGGGCAGAAAATGTAATTAAATCTTCTATTCAGTACATTCAATTACCACTCATTAAGTTCCATATTTAAGCCATTAAATATCATTCTCTCTCTCTCATTGAATCGTACATTAAAGTACTTTTGTTTCTTATCATTAAATTGATAAATTCCACCACTTAAATCCTTACACAACAATCTTAATGGTATAAAAACTTGTGTATCTTTAAAACAGACCTAAAAAAAAAACCACATTTTCCATCTAGGTGGTAGGAAAGCAATTCAACCATTTGGATCAAATGGGTTGACCCATGATGCCATAAAAAATGAAAATAGATAAAAATACAAAAATTAAAAAAAAAATAAGAAAGTGCAATTTCTATTGTTATATATTTGTCATATTAAAAAAAGATAAGTATGATAAATAAGAAATATTTTTACTAATGATAGAAATGGAAAGTGCAATTTAAAACCGAAGGGGAATGAAACCATTTTCCTACCTAAGCGGTGGGTTAGTGGTTCAACCATTCAGGTCAAATGGGTTAACCCATGATGTCATAGTTAAAAAAATAATTTTTTTTAAAATAGAAAAACAAAAAAAATATGGAACAATTTTGGGACATTTATAATATTATATTTTAATCATATTAAACAAAAATAAGTGAGATAAACAAGAATGTCTTTTATAATGATGTTAATGAAAAACAAAATTTAAAACCGATCTAAAAATGAAACCATTTTCATTTTGGTATCTAGATAGCGGGTCAACAACCTAATCTTCCAGGTCAAATGGGTCAGTCCATGATGTGATAATCAAATAATAAAACACAAAAAGTTCTAAAAAAATGTAGAACCTTGTAGGAAAATTTGGGCGCATCTCTAATATTATATATTTATCATATTAAAAAATAAATGAAATAAGAATTATTTTCATTAATGATGAAATTGGGATAAAAATAATTAGGAAAAAATAACATTAATGTCTAAATCATGAGTTCATGACCACACTAACTAGGTCAAATGGTTCAATTAGTTAGGTCACCATGTTATTAACCAAGTTAATGATTTTTAGCAAGAAAGTGGGTTGGTGGTAAATGGACCTAGAATTCAGATTGGATGATGGATCGACCAATCTAACCAATTAATTTGACCACAAGATTAAAAAAAAAGTTCTAAAAATATATCAGAATTGTACTTTCCTCCTTGTCAAATAGGCAACCTTTATTACGTCATGAATTAAATGGTAAAATAAAAATATAGAATTTTTTGTAAAATTTATACAAAATTTGAGCATGCTATTAATATTATATATTCTCCATATTAAACAAAAAGAAAAATCTATGCTGCACATGAATTTGGAAGACTTTTGACCAATCAAAACCTCCCCATGAATTTTAATAAATACTCCCTGATTGGTTACCACTTTTATGATACCGGTTCATTGGTTACAAATTTTTCTCGTATCATGTCTTTTCAATATGATAGTCGAACCATAAACAAAATTATGGTTTTTTTGATAGATAGAAGTTCATTAAAATTCATCATCAGCACGAAAATAAATGTCTGTTACAAGCATCCCAAGGGGAGGTGTGAGGATTCAAACAATCATGAATCAAACCTTACGATTTTTGTAGAAAAGGACCTAGACATAAGATTCAAATCATGAATAATCAATCATATAGTAAATTGTAAGAGTTGGCATCGTCCAAAGGTAGCTTGGGCTGCCATAAATCCATAATTGATACAAGAGAAATTGTCAATTATGGCAACTTGGTAGTATGGCAGCTTGGGTTGTGTTAGTGTCGAGTATGTAGGGGTATTTCTGTCTTTATACTTATGTTGAGGTTGTTGATCTGTGATATTATATTAGAAATAGTGCCCCTCACTTAAGTAAGGGCACGTGTCTTTTCCATTATGTTAGTAACATAAAACATGTCTGGCCAAATGGGAGAGAGATTTTTTCTCACATTCGAACCAGACTTTTCTTCTCTCCTTTTCTCCTCTTTTCTCTCTCTCTCTCTCTCTCTCTCTCTCTCTCTTTCTTTCTTCTTTCTTCTTCTCTCTTCTTGGCTGTTATCAGACTAACAGAACTCAAGGGTAGGCCGAATCATAATATGGTATCAGAGCACAACTAAACAACTCAGATCTGCCCAGATTTCTGTTTTCTGCGCACTCAGTCTAGGGTTTTCTCTTGATTTCTCTGCCATCGATTGGAGATAAGGGAAAGGGCTGAAAAGGAGTGGTCGCCCTCTTCCCTTGAAGCTCTTTATGCCTCCAGTTGTGTTGTTCATGTTCAGTTGCTGTGGTTTCTAAGAAGCCCTCCCCTAATCGATGAAGAGAAGAGGGTTGATTCATGTGGTGCAGTGGGTGTCTTG